AGAAAAATCTGAGAGTAAACAAATGGGGCACATCCCTACTAGGGATATTTTTAGATAAGGTAATTTCAGCAGACTGAATCTCCAATCATCAGGTATTTAAATAGCAAATGCATGGAATGGATGAAGAGAATTTACTGTGAGAGTGGAATAAGCCCTTTGGGTGCAGCTGGCAGTGCCATTGTGCAGGTGTTCCATGGTGGCCATGCAGGTTCACATGGCAAGGAGCGTAGAGATGTTATCTCAAGGTCTGAGCAGAACATTGGTCTCCATAATATGAGGCCTCACCCTGCAAAGAGATCAGAAAGGCCTCTCCAGAGTCTCTCCCCTAACGGGGTGTATGTGGTGCCTTGTTTTCTGACACACTTTGGGGAAGGGCAGCAGATTGTTCCCCTACACATCAGCAGAACCCTTCAGCAGCTGGAAGGCAGTGAGCCAGGTAAAGGAGGGAGTCCACACTGAGGGAAAGTCCCTCTCTTATGAAGGAGAAAAATGTGCACCCAACAGCTGGCAACGGGTCTGCTTCTCATGAAAGAGCTGCTGGGAAGCTTCTAAGCACGTGGCTCTTGGAGGGTCTTTCTCTTCTTGGCTGCTCAAACATAAGGACGAGGTGGATGGTGACACTCTGAACCCGCATTCTCTGCCAAAATGGGCACCTTTCAGGCCATGGTGCCAGTAATCAATGCAGAATTCTGCTTGAAGGCATGGCACACTATGCAGTGTATGAAAAAATATTGCTTAACTGAGGAGAGAAGTGAAATAAATAATGTTAGTGCACCAGCAGAAACATGTGAGTGCAGAGGCTGAAGTTCAAGGAACACAAGCTGAGGATTTGTTACTTTATTTGTTACCACTGATATACCTTTGAGTGCTCCTGAATTTAGAAGTCCATTACCATGCTCGCTCATGGTCCATAACTGCAGAAACTGTGTTTATCAACGAGGGGAACAGAGAGAGAGATGTTATTTTCAAACTGTTGAGAGGTTATTATACAACCAATGGAGAGTGAAACACCTACATTAGAAACTGCATAAAAGCACTTGACAATGTCCTTTTACTAAGTTTCAATAAAATGTATTAATATGATTACTATACTACTCATGTTCTAAAGCATGAGGCCTTTTTTTGACCTCTAAGTGCAAGATCCTTTTGAAAAATAGTAATGGAAATGTTTTCACCCTCTCTGTCAGCAATTTCTGTCATCCAGTTTCCATTCCTATTTGTGTTTAGAAAGGAAAATTACAGTGTAATTTTATTTATTTTTTTTTAATTTTCTCAAAGCCTTATAAAGAGGTTTGCTGACTTTCTTTTATATTTCCATTGACTCAACGGGTGTTTCTCTCTATGTGAGCCTTCTTAACATGTATAAATGAGCAAGATTAATGAGAATTGTGCTTCGTCAGTTCTGCAGGCAGGTGGTTTACAGTTTTGAGGGTGTAATTTGGTCTAGATTGAAGAGATACTTGCTTTATCAAGAAGGCAAAGAAGCTACATCCATGTTTAAAGTAAAACTTAAATTTATAAGTACTTTTCTCCTGGAGTTTTAACAGTTCCCTCCCCACTTCCACTCCAAAGAGTGAGGTCTAATTAACATCAACAATCTTTCTATGGCTAAAGTGTTTCCTTTAAAAAAAAAAGTTTTTAAGAACTGCTTTAAAATTATCAAAAATGGAGGTCAAGCAATGGCTTTATAACACTCCATTGAGCCTTTCTGTATGCCAATATACATTTTTCATCCTTAGCTTAAGGTTGTATTAATAAAGAAGAGGTCTGCTGCACATTATGCACCTCCTGATCTCGGCTATTTCACAGGAACAGTAAGCTATGAAACTTCAGGGTGATTTTTTTTCTATAATAATCTGCTTCTGTTCCTACTGATGAGGATCCAGTGCTCCTCTTTCTGACCTTCCATGTTCACCAGCCAATCAAGCCTGAACAGTTTCAGCAGTGTTAAACTTCACAGCTATTTCTGTTACTCTGAGGTCTGTCCCCATCGATTTTTAAAAAGTCAGCATGCCAGGAATTCATGTCAGATGTCAGCAAGCTTCAGAGTCACCACTGATAACCTGCTGTCTCAGCACATCGCAGCAGAACAGAGCATTCATGTTGTTCTGCTCCTGATTGTCTGGTGAATTGGGAAAACATTGTGCAAAATACAGCAGCTTCACTGGTGGGAAAAATTGCTGAACAGCACCTGCATAGTAAAGAAAGACCATCTGCTTATTTTCCATAGCCACTATTTCTCCACCTCGGTATCTGTCTGGTTTTTGTCAGGCAGGATCATGGAGCTGGTTCAATGAGAATATATATGTATCTATGTAAGGAAGAAAGAGAAAAGAGAGAGAAATCAGGAGCAGGATTCTGTTTTCATACAACTCAGAGTGTTCCTGTGGGACTGACAGCTACAAGACACCAGCAAGGACAGGAATTCACCAGTGCTCATTAAGCTGACTGGGCTGTTTATCAAGAAAATGTAGACAATTATGGTTTTGTGTAGTTTAAATCCATATACTTAAACCAAAAAGGCTTGATGAGGTGTAAACTATTCTTTCAGAGCATAAATCTTTTTGCTGAGAGAGATGGGAAGAGCTACTTCCCATTATCTCTATTTATTCATCCCATGTGTGAGGCAGGTCTTTTATTTTCTTGTGCAGCACAGAGTAGTGATTGCTGTCACAACCCCTGCATTAGATCAGATGAGTTAATTCCAGGTTAGTAATTTATACACTCGAATACAAGTACTGTCCTTGGACAGTAAGAACACCTGCATTTTCTTTTTGTTATATGACACCTTAGAAAGTTACACTACACTAAAATTTAGCAACTTCTGCTGTTGTGGGAGCAATTGTGCTCCTCTTTACTGGAGGTTTCATAAACCTATTCACTGTAACATTCTGGTTAAACTGAAGACAGCTTGTATTGATTTTCTCTTCCTCTTCTCCTCCTCCTTTTTTTTTCTTTTTTTTTTTCTTCCCATTTCTTGTGCTTATCCATGTGGAGGACAAAGAGGGTGTCTAACTAAGTATTTTTCCCTTAATCAGGCTGAGAGAAAAGAAGGGTTTCAAGGTCAGTTACAGTGCAAGATGCTTTTTATAACCTCCATCATCTTGTCTGTTTCCTCTGCCTTGTAAAGAGAGGGTTTTTTCCATGACACCAATTACGATACAGTCACTCACACAGAATTCTTCCATTTGGGCTTGTATTTGCTCTCTCAGGGCAGTCCCACATCTCCCCCAGTACTGTGTTGGTGATGTGAGCTTCTGACCTTTGGGAAACTATCCTGAACTCCACGAATTCCTTCATCCCTCACTTCACTTATTACAGCTGGTGGTTACTATTTGTCTTGTGCTGTGTTAGCAAAACCCTGTGCAGATGGGGAGTATAGATTTCTTCACTGAGGCTAAATTGGCAAAATATATAATGCAGTATCAATTGCCCTTGGTGCCCTGAATTCCTGCCTTCGTTAACTAGGCTGCAGCAACTGTTGAAGCTAATCTGTCCACTGACTGGGGAGAGAGTGTCAGAAGAAGTGAAGATGCCTGTCTCAGGTTTTGTCCAATTTATCCTTTATTTATTTGGTGTAGGTCCTGACTGCAGTGTTATTTGAGGTGCTTGTGTGCTCTAAGCTGTTACCCTCACAAATCCCTTCCCATGTGAAGCTGTCCTGTATTCTCCATTTACACAGAAACACTGAAGCATGGTCAAGTTTGATAGATTTTCCATGACATTTATGACAGAGGTATGAGAGCTCAGACCTTCTAACCAATCTGGTGCTCTACTCTCTTATTTTTCTAATTTGGGACAGGAATATGAATTCACTGTAAAAGCAGCTGAAAGACTCCAGGACATTTCTGCTCTGTGCCTGCGTTCAGCTGCAGTTAATACACACCTTGTTGAATAGATCCCAATTTACCCCTTTGCTGCTGAAGGTGACAGCCTTGATTGCCTCAGGCTGTGGGGATGACAACTTCCAGATGAGGGGATTGCATAGAGGAGCAGGGTTTGTGTGTGTTTTAAACCCCATCTTTATTCTTACAAGAGAGAGGAAGATGTTAAAGCATTCACAGTTTGGTTGTAAGAACTCTTTTTGGGGGAAAGAAATGACACACAGTTTTCCTGATTTTGTGCTAAGCAAAACAGTCCTCACTACTCAGGAGCACAAAGTGTTAGCAGGAATGTTTTGGAGACAGCAAAGGAGTTCCTTCTTTGTATTTTGTGTTGTCATCTCCACTTACACATTAATAAGCTACTGTATCCAGTGGTTATCCTTTTCTTCCAAATTCAGCTTTGAGCTGATATCTCTGTTTATCTTCGTGTTTCTGTTGTAGGAGTCTCTTTGCAGTTTAGTTAGAACACGTTCAAGGTTACTTCAGATGGGAAGTTTAATACTTTGGTGCATTCAAAAAGGCAATATCATGGTATTCTCTTCCTTGTCCAGTGAAGTGACATTTCAGCTGCCTTATCAATATATCAAACATCACTTCTTTTGCATATGTTTAAACTCTAGCTCTGAGGAGCATTGTACATGATGTGGGGTCAGTCCTTCTCAGAGCTCTGCCCTATGACAGCAGCTTTCTTGCTTTCCTCTTTGTCACAGATTTGTGGTTGTGTGGTGTTTCACTCTGCTCCAGCTGTTAAAATGGCATTCAAAAAGCTGTGTTTCCTCTCCTCTCTCCCAGGAGCTACAAGCTCTGTTTGAGGCCATTTTCCTGCTGCCTTAAGCAGTGATTCAGAAATATCCACATTTTGTGAGGGATCCAGCCTCTATCTGGTTTTGGAGCCCATGTTTCTCTCACAAGGTGTACCTACTGATAATGAAATACACTTTATTTTCCTTTAGCTCTAGCTTGAAGGGCTACCTTTATGTCCTCTTACATGTCTCACTTAAAAACGACTGCCCTCATTAGAGTCCCGTGTAACACCTGAAAGCCTTGCACACCTGAAGCTGTTTTATTTAATGCAGCTGTGGGCAATTAGCAAGAAGGTCTCTTAAGGAGGAGCTTCTGCCTTAGGCAGGGGTAGTTGTTAGCATGGGTGCTGAGCTGGGCTGCATGCGTGCTGCAAACACTGCAATAAGCCTCTGTAAGGTAAGAAAACTCTGCTTGCTGTTGTGCTTTATTATTTCCAGAGTGCCTGAGCTTAAGTACACAGTTGGAATGATAAAAGGGGCCTGTGTGGCAGAGAAAATTATGGAAGACCATTGCTGCAAGAGCAGATGATCAGAATGTCTGGTGAGAGGTGACAGATGGGTGCCAGTCCCTGGCAGCAGTGAGAGGCAACAGGGAGACCCTTCTGTTTGGTGTGATAAACAACATCTTGCCTCTGTGGTGCTGTTCATCTAGCTCATACCAAAGATGTGCTGTCCTGTTTCAGGAGCTGCCCAAACTCCCTGGCTCACAGGAGGGTTAGCTTAGCCTTCAGTGCTGCCCCAGCATGGAGTGTGCTTGCTCTGAGCCTGGGTGTAGGTCTGGGGACAGGAGTTGTTCCAGCTCTCCTGCACCTGGCGATGCAGAACCTGCCCCTGCTCAGTGTCAGCTGGCTCCAGAGGAGCTTTGTTGTGTCCCCCCTTGGGTCCATGAGACTTGTGACTGAGAATGGAGACCTGGGTTGTTGGTTCCTTTGGGTTGTTTATTGCTTTGGGTCCCTGAGGTGGCTGTGTGCACCATCCCATTCCTGAAATGTTGTCTAAAGGGAAACTAAATTTACAAAGGGAGGAGGAGGGTAGTGGTGGCAGGGCAGAGACAAATAAACTCAATGTAAGGGAATAAGAGTTTTTTAAAGCTTTACAAAGACAAAACAGTAGGTTTATCCTAAAATGAAAGGAAATTTATGCTCCTAATCTTTCACCATGTGCAACTTTCTGCAACTATAATCCACACCCTATTTATATTACTGCTATTATGATCAGAGTAAGACAACATTTCACACAATATAGCTCTGCTGCTTAGATCAGCTGGTGGATATTTTTAATATTTACGTTCTTTGTACCACTCAGGTCTAAATTCTGAAGTGAATTTAAGAAGTTATAAATTTTCTTTTCCATTATTCCTGATTTCAGCAATCATGGACAGTATTTTCTTTTATAGATCACTGCATTGCAGTGCTGTTGACTATCCAGAGGTAACAAGGATTAGCATGTTCAGAATTAAGCATGGGATATTCAAGTAAATTTTTCTCTCAGGGCACATGCTGTTAAGGGGAATTTTCCATGGTCATGGAAAGAATATTCTCTGTTGTTCCCAAGTTTCAGAGTTAGCTCTGGTTACTGCAGTGTGCTCTGCAATGCACTGTGCAAAAAATTATGTCCTCTGGTGAGGTAAGAAAGAACCATTGCATTGTGTTGGTTATTAAGTATTTATTGTTGCTTTATTCCCCATAGTTTGCAGTCACAGCAATAGTTGAATGTTAGCTTACAAAGAAGCTGACTGCCCCAAAGCTCTCACTTGCTCAGCTCTGCAAAATGAGAATAAAGTGGGTTTATTTCAAAGGCAACCCATCCCAGGGCTGGTCAGAGTCAAACTTGTGGCTTTCAGATCTGGTGGGGCTTGTCCAAGGGCTCTCTCTCCCTGATGCTCTGAATGTTTGCCCCTCTGAGAGGGTTTAGCAGGACCTGCAGCAGGCTGGAGCTGTGTGCTGTGGGTGCCCAGCACAGCCTGGCCTCGGGATGTGCTGGGAGCCCTCAAAGCCAGCCCTGCCCTTTGCCACAGCTGCTCGTTGAGGGGTTCAGTAAAATCTGTCATCTCCAAGGAGTGCAGACAGGGTCTCTGTTGCTATTTGTGGAGGGAGTTTCTTCTGTTGCTTGAAAGCTTTAAACTGTTTTTCTTACCAAAAGGGGGAAAAAAAAGACAAAAAACAAAACGGAGGAAAAAAAAAGTTCCTTACCATCTGGCCATAACCTTGTACAATATGTTACATTTCAAACTGTAAGACAATTTTTATGATCAGGTTATAATTTGTCAACTGCCTACAGATCTTTAACTTAAAAATGTACAGTGCAGAATAAAGTTGCTCTGTATATTGTTTTCTAAGATGAGTGGAAGGAGAATGGAGGAAAAAAAGACACTTGAAAGTGTTTTAATTGCACAGGGATGTCATTGCCTCTAGCAAGAGTTCTCCTGCTTCTGTCATAAATTTTTCATATTGCCTCGTGAGAGTGAAAACTGGAAACTTTACCCTCTAAGTGAAAGTCGATGAACCTCATACCAGCCTCAGATCCCAGCAGCCTTGCACTCAGGAATATTAATTTAATTAAGATCGCTACAATAAATTCTGTGAGGGAGCTCTCCTGGCACCTAAGGTAACTCGTGCAAAGAAGGAGGGGAACAAACAGCAGAGCCAGATCTGGTGGAGGGAGGAGCTGTGGTGCAATGTCTTCAGAACAGCTGTACGCTCATCTGAAGCGACACCTCCCAAAATAGACAGCAGAGGTTTGACTGGGAGAAGCCACAGGATCACACAGAGCCAGATGGTTTTATTTTCACTGCACTGACCTGGCTGCAGGCTGGGAAAACGTGGCGAGGCGTTTTTTGGGATTGGCTGTCTCCTGGGAGCAGAGGGGCAGCGCGTGTGTGGCTGCTCCCCTGTCGGTCACAGGCTGTGGCCTCTGCAGAGGGACCTGGGCTGCTCCTGGGGACAAGGAACACAGCTGCCAGCCAGGGCCACACGGTGCTGCAGGCTTTGGGCTGGATGTTTTAAATTAGATTAGAGAGCTAGGGTTAATTAGAGTGCTGTTACAGGAGGCGGCTGACCTGGCTCACCCAGGAGCTGTGGGTGGTTCTGCCCCTTTGAAATCCCACAGCTGAGATCACCTGAAGCTCCAGGAGGAGTAACTAGCAGACACCACATGCCAATTATGACTTTTGGGGTTTTTTTGGTTTATCTTTTTATTTTTTTTTTTCTTTTTTCCTCCTGAAACTGGAAGCTAAGCCACAGAATCGGTGCCACAAAATATACCAGAATGATGCAAAATTCTAGGAAAATTATAGCCCAAAGTAAAACTATTTCATAATATTGGCAATAAAACAGAGCTCCCTGAGATCTTTCAAGTCTCTTCCAGCCTAGTCATTCTGTAAATTCAGTTTGAAATTATAGGCTTAATAATTGGGGTGGTTGTGCGGATTAAAAGGTTGAGATTCACTGAAGTGAGTCTCTGTTGCAGAGTTCTGTGTGACCACAAAGGGATGTGTGAGACTTCTGGTCTCTAATACTAACCTTAGAGCTGTATGTTCCTTTAATTTAAAATAATTGTTAATGTGAGTAGTTATTGTTTTACTTCCTCAGAAAGTTTAAAAGTATTTTATTACAAAAATTGAATGTTTGGTACTATGAGGAGAACACACCAACAATGCAGTTTTTTCTTTGCTCCCCAGCCTTTTCTTTCCTTACAAATCAGCTGCTATCTGAAGTGCTAGAAATGGCATCATTTGCAAGCATGTTCCATGCCCAGGACCCAGCACAGCTCAAGCTGGGCGGTGCTTTCCATCCTGGAGTTTGGTCTGGATGCTCTTTTTAGTCCTTTGTGATTTTTCAGTAGTTTTGCCCTTCCCAGTGAGCTGCTGCTGGTGTGATGCACTCTCTGCAACAATGAAGGTGTCAGAGCAGGGACTGTGATGCCTCTTAGGACAAATTCTCCCCAGTGGGACCAACCACACAGCTGGCATGAGAAACTGAGTCTGGTGGGACAGGGAGATGTGCTTTCAAGCTGCTTTCAGGCCACCTGTGAGGGAAAAAGGATTGTGGGACTTAATAAATGAAATATACTTTTTTACTTCCTAAAATGTTCCTTGAACATGATTTGTGTTTTATTCATGAGATTTAAAAATTGAGTTGAACAACTAAGCTGACAGAGACCACACAATGGCTAAAAGGGTACTAAAAATAAAGAAACAAGAAGGAGAAAGTGGTCAGTTGTGTGTCTTGAATATTTAATTTTTTTTAAAAGTTATTATTTTAAATTAAGCTTGGATGTAGCATGAGTTTGTTGGGTTTTTTTCCTCTGTGTCTGTTCCTCTCCCTGCCCTTTGCTAAATGGCATGGTTCAGTGAGATGCATAGACTGGTGTTACTGCAGGCATTGCAGAGCCCTTAACTGCAGTATCTGTTCCTCATATTCCTTCAGGGTTTATTTGCAAAAGGGCAGCATAGCCAAATGTGATATTTAGGCTTTGGTTCCTATTAAAAGAAAACAAATGCAGTGCTACAGCAAGGCTCACTGGCTTCAAGGCAACCTGTGGCTACTTTAACAAGTAAAAAAAAAAAAAAAAAGTCACTTTACTGGTTTTCAGATTTTAGTCAGGAGCTGCAGAGAGAGAAGATAAAAGTAAATGCTTTCCTGGATAATCTTGCAGTTCCTGAGAATCAACAATAAAAGCCAGTGATTTCTGGACAGTGAAGTGGCTGCCAGGTTCAACTAAATGATCATTTTCCAAAATCCTGGCTTTGCCTACTTGATCAACCCTTCTTGTTCCCAGGAATGATGACAGCTAATTCTGCTCTTGCTAGTGCTCAGGTGAATTTGGACCACTTGAAGCTCTGTGCTCTGCCCTGGGAGTGGGCTAACCCCAATCTTCTCTTTAAGCTGCAATCTTTCAAAATTCCCATTTGACTCAGCTGCTGTGGACTCAGTTCCCCATTCCTTTTTTTGTATGGTTTCCTCAATTCAACCCATTCATGGGTCAGGTCCGTGTTCTTGATTCCTATTTCTTACACACCTACCAAAAAGGAAGACATGCAGGTCATTTTTTCAATTGAATGAGTGCTGTGGTATTTTCTGAAAAAAATGAAACATAGTAGAATAATGGGAGATTAAAACTGTTATAGGAGAATATGTTAATTTTATCCTTTAATGTTTTATTGCTTGTATCATGTAGGGGGTAGACTGTAAGAAAATAAAGATAGGGCAGAAAGTAATCTCACCCCTAAGGAGTTGCAGCTGGGCCAATTACCAAAGATTAGGAACAGGCCTGACTTGAACAGGCCACAGCTGTGACCAGAGAAGAAGAGAGCTGTGAAAGAGTGGGTTGGCTGGTTGAGAAGGAACTGGGGTCAGTTGGCTGACTTGAGAGGGAGAAAGAGTCAGTGCTCTGAGG